ACACCACCACACCCAGATAATTGTTCTGTTTTTCTTAGAGATGGGGTCTCACTATGTTCCTCAGGCTGATCTCAAACTCCTGGCCTCAAGTGATCCTCCCATCTCAGCCTCCCCAAGTGCTAGGATTACAGGCATAAGTCACCGTGCCCAGCCAGTACTGCCTTTTAAACATGAGCATACTATCTAGAATAATAGTGGAAGCGATACTAGTTGCTTTCAGAGCTGAGAATCAATTTGTTGAGGTGCTGCGAGACATTGTTGAAAGGTGACATAATTTCAAATGGAAAAATGAACTAAAGCTTTTGTGTATTTAAGCTGCACCATCAGATAGCTCATTCTGAAACTCAAATCTTTGAAGGCGTTATCTAAATCATGCATTTTCTTAGCTTCTTATAATTCTTCGTGATGGATTGCTTATACCACAGCTATTTTATCTCAAATTTTGGTTATTTTGTTCACATTGTTCTTTAGATGCTATTAAACTACAGCTGGTGGAAGCAGGCCTGGTAGAGTGTCTACTAGAGATTGTTCAACAGAAAGTGGATAGCGACAAAGAGGATGACATTGCTGAGCTCAAGACTGGGTCAGATCTAATGGTTTTATTACTTCTTGGAGGTGAGTTGTAATTTATGCCAACCAAAGAACACAGTCATCAGATTTTTAAAAATTGATTAAGTCTCTTCTATAGGTAGTATACTAGGGATTTTCTCATTTTCCTATCTCACATCCTGTTGATGCGATGCTTTTGAAACCTTAAACATGTCATGGATAGAGCTAGAGATAATGAACTGAAAAAGGAGGAGTCTTTGCTATCTTCCACTGTTTGAAGAGCTGTCACATAGAAGACATAGCTGTGGTACCAAAGGACTAAAAGGTAGATGGCTGCTTGGGACTTGGACTAAAAAAATGCTAAAGTCCATTGTCTAGTCTCTACTAAAAGTTTATTATAAAAAGATTCATTACCTTTCCCATTATGAAATTAATAGTTCATGAAGTATGTAGTTTCCCAGTTGGATATTCACTTAGGAATATGAATTTGTTCCTCCTAATTGTTTTTCTCTTGTTTATTTGTTTCGTTTATGTCCAGATGAATCCATGCAGAAATTATTTGAAGGAGGAAAAGGCAGTGTATTTCAAAGGGTGCTTTCTTGGATTCCATCAAATAACCACCAGCTGCAGCTTGCTGGAGCATTGGCAATTGCAAATTTTGCCAGAAATGGTAAGCATATTAGTTCCTCCTTCATTAATAAATGTTCCTTATTTTTTTATTTTTCCTTTGCCATCACATGTACTAAAACTGGAACAGTTCAGAAGTTCGTGTAATATGTGTATATGCTGCTTTGTTCTTCAGAAATCTGCAATACTTATACTGACTTTCCTAAGTTACATTTTATGCAGTTGAACTAAACTCTTAACAGTTTAAAGATCATGAACAGTGATCATGAAGTGTTTCTTTTGAACGCTTTGCACTTCAGAATTTGGTAAACTTAAAGTCCTATTCTAATATGCATTTGACCTCTTTTGCCTGGAGATTTTATTTTGAATTTAACCTTTTTGAGTATTCATTCTAGGGTTATCATGCCTCAGTTTATACTTTTATGCCCGTAAAACTTAAGTGTAACTAATCCTCTGTTTTAGGGTAGATATTTAATTTAGTTTAATATTTCAGATGCAAAAGACCTTCATGTTTATGTATAAAATCTGGCACTTGTAAGAAACTCAAACTCAGTTAAACTATACTTTGTCTAGAAAATGTGGGTTATTTTTCTTTTTAGTTTGATTTTATTCCAGTATGAGCTATTGGTATATATTATAATGGCTTATTCCATTTTTACTCTTTTCTCTTTGGGAGTAACTCCCTAATGATGGAGTTATGAGTGGCAAAATAGGTAATAATTTAAGTATCAGCCATGATAACAAAAGGTAGAGTATTTTAAGCATGTGGTTTCTACATCTGATGTATTATCGGGCTCTAAGCTGGGGATGTTTCTTGTCATTTTTATGATTTTTAAAATTTTATCTATTTTAAGAATCTTTATAATCAGACTTCTCAGTTAATAGATGAACCTGTAAATCTGATGAGAGAAAGAATTGCAATGTATTTTTTTTGATAGCTCTCTTTTCCCTAATGTAGGTAGATAATAGTCAGGTATCAGTATTATAAAATATTTATAGACATTTTTAAAGAGGAAGAAAAAATGTTTGTTTTGTTCAGATGGAAATTGTATTCACATGGTAGACAATGGGATTGTAGAAAAGCTTATGGATTTACTGGACAGACACGTGGAAGACGGAAACGTCACCGTGCAGCACGCGGCGCTAAGCGCCCTCAGAAACCTGGCCATTCCAGGTAAGGCCTACGGCAGGAGGCGGCTGTGTAAAAAATAAAATCCATCATTTTGGGAAGATATTTACTCTGTGATTTGTGGACCTGCTCTGCCCAAGAAGAAAAAATTAGTCTTCAGATCGTTCACAGTTTTGTTTTTTTTTTTTTACTAATAAATGGAGATCATATGTTAAATAAGTTTTCTGAGACTGTATGAGAATAATCTTGCCTTTGTTCAGATCATTCAAATATCCTGTTACCTTTTGTGAACTCTTAGATTTCCATTGTATAGTATAGTTAAGCTTTTTTAAACATCTTCAGGTGAGGTAGGATAATGACATCAATTAAGAGAATCTCCTAAGAATGATTTAAGTTGGTTTTCTTTTTTTTTCCCTATAAGCAGACATATATTTTTTTAAAATAGCCTTAATTTATCTTTGGATTAAAGGCTTTTGAGCCATGAAATCACATTATCATGGGAAATAATACAGAAGACAGTTAAAACTATTCTTGTATTCTACTTTTGCAAAATATGTTTTTTTAATATTTTTAAGAGATAGGAATTGCTATGTTGCCCAGGCTGAGCTCAAACTCTTGGGCTCAAACCTTCCCACCTCTGCTTCCCAAGTGGTTGGGATTGCAGGCATGAGCCACCACACGTGGCGTAGAAATAAATGTCTGATTAGGTGACATAATATAATTATATGAAGGTCCAATCCATATGAATTCATCTTTGTTCATAAAGCATATTAATATTGTATATTAATGTCTATAACATTTATATTAATACAGTTGGGTCAAAGACAGAGGTAAAAAGAAACACTTAATAAAGTTGAGGAATTGTGCTTTTTATTATAAGATGACAACATTTTCAGAGTTCCTTTACAAACTATGTAAGTAAATGTTTTGAGGTTGGGTTTTAAAAGCCTAGTATGATTTTTATCTGTTATGCTCCTATACACAAACAGGGTACTTACACACACACACTCAATTCCATTCTTAAAATTCATAGAAAAGTAACAGGATTGTTTCAAAATAGAAAAATATAACATGAGCCTTAAGGACCCATTCAGTAAATGTGCACTGAATTGAATGTTTATCATCAAGAATGCTAAGACCATTTTAACTATAGTCTCTCTTTCTCTTTCTCTCTAGTTATAAATAAAGCAAAGATGTTGTCAGCTGGGGTCACAGAGGCAGTTTTGAAATTTCTTAAATCTGAAATGCCTCCGGTTCAGTTCAAACTTTTGGGAACATTAAGAATGTTGATAGATGCACAAGGTAAAAGAAATGTTTTTCCAAATTGCATTTTTGGTATGATAGTATTAATGTGCCTCTAGTTGGAAAAGGACTTGCTTTTAGCATTCAGGATGATGTTATCATCATAAATAAATAGCAGATAAAAGGTAAAAAGTTGGTTTTGGAACCTCATTCACTAATCCCTGTACTTGTTATAATTGATTTTAAGTGGAAATGATACTGTATTCCTCTTTATTAGTACATCTAAGCCTGGTTTTAGGTTGGTTTATTATTACTTCCGGAGAGGTTTTTGTGTCTTGGCATTCTATGCCCTTGTACCTTGTCTTCAAAATCAAATTTCATTATTGTGACAGTCAAAATTTTTTAAAATTTGTTTTGCAGACAGGGAGAGCATTTTGTAGAAACAGCAGTGAAAACCACTGCGAGGAATGAATTATGTCTATTATTTCTAAATTCTGAGCCCTTTTCTATATTGATTGGTTAAAGTCCTTCTAAAAAAGCTTCTTCATTACAGTCTGCCAGAGTACTAACCAGACGATCAGGCTTACCCAAAAGAATATGAAGTTGTTTGTTTTCGTATTTTGTATGAAAATCTACAACTTAGTAGAAAAAGCCAAATAGCCCCTCAGGTGAGTATTTGTAGTCCTTGCTTTAACTATTGTGTTTTTAGACACGCAATTTGCCTTCACACTCTTACATCTTTCCAATTATTTCAGCCAGTTGCGTATCGGTGATTCATTCCTTTGTGGTTTTTCTTCTTCCCTATAGCAGAAGCTGCTGAACAACTGGGAAAGAATGTGAAACTAGTGGAGCGCTTGGTGGAATGGTGTGAAGCCAAAGATCATGCTGGTGTGATGGGGGAGTCAAACCGACTGCTCTCTGCCCTCATACGACACAGTAAATCAAAGGTAAGTTCCAGGGAAACCGTTTACTAGAAAACACTAGAGTGGCTCTTTTGGAAGGAAACCCAGCACTGTAGATCCTACACTGTAAGCCCGCATTTTTATGTATGTACATAGGAATACATTAATCAACAATGCAGATTGAGCTTTTTTATTTAGTTCTATTTCATAATAGCTAAGAGTAAGGCTTTGGAATCAAACAGAGATGGGTTCGGATTTTATCTCTACCATTTAAATGGTCAAGCCTCTCCATGTCTCAGTATTTTAAAATAAAAACTGGGATAACATTTATCTGAAAGTATCGTGAGGATTCAGCGAGCTCTCGTATACAGTGTACTCAGCTGGCACCTGGGACGCTGGAAGCGCTCAATAAATGGAGGTTGCTGTTCCTGCTGTCATTGTTATTTTTACTGCCATTACCAGCATCAGAGTCAAACATTCAAGCGCCAGGCTCTGACCGTGGTAGCTACTGATGCTTAGAAATGAAATGATACCTAGATAGTATATGGTGCCCAGAACTGACAAAGTTGGACAAAATCCATTCTCATGGCAGTTGGGAGATAACCAATAAGTGAACAAATGAGCTATTTGAAAGATTTGAAAGATCACAATGGTGGGAACCCAGACCAGCAGTTCGCCAGCTGATTTAGTATCTAGATTACATTCCTTTTAATATTTTATACCCTCTTTTCTAAGGTGACCCTTTTGATCATTTCACTTGTGGTACAACTTCAATAGCGATGGTATTTGAGAAGAAAGTCAATTTAGAACTCAAATCCACTAGCTCTTTTCACGTATTTATAGAACAGATTTTTAAAAAAGATGGCAAGAGAAGAAGCTTAAAAGTGATGGTTTTCCTTGCCTTGTGTAAATCTTTCGTACAAATAATTGACTTCACTGTAATAGCATCTCAGCTGGTGAGCCACAGCAGTGTTCTTCCCATCAGACGCTAAATTTCGAGATCTTTCTCTGGGGAAACGCAGCTGTTAACCAGGACCTTCCTCTTACCCGTCTCACACAGACCAGCCTAAAAGCCCACACATTTTCACTAACACCAGCATAGGACCAAACAGTATGTCGGCAGGATGGAAAGTATCAAAATGACCTCCTTTTTCCCTTCTCCATTATGCCCATTCGTTCATTTAACAGTTAATACCTGGATGCTTGCAGAGGAAATATTATAAAACATAGGGTTGCTTTAAAGCAATTAAGTGTCTAGTAAGGGGACGGATATAAAAACAGCTAAGCTTAAGCACAGCATTAAGGCCACATACACCATTTGGGTGTAACATGGAGGAAAGAAAGACCAACACTGGATGGTCCGGGTGGTGTCATAGAAGGGGTGATGTCTTAGAGGTTAACTAGGAAGCTCAGGAGGGGAAGAGAAAAGAGGGAAGAGCCTTTTCAGACAAAGACAATAGTATATACAAAAGCATTGAGATGTAAGACAGAAGTTTTAGAGGAAAACTACAAATAAAGCAGTGTTGCTGGAGCATAGTGTGTAGAGACAGTGGCCAGAGAGGATGAGAATTGGGGACTAAGATGAGTTATATGCCAAATTAAGATAGATGGATTTGATTCCGTAGAAAATCAGGAGCTCTCAAAGTGTTTTAAGCAGCACGGAGCCATTTCTTTGTTTTCATTTAGAAAAATGACTAGGGTTTTATGGGGGCAGAAAGTTAACGCAAAAATATATATGAGAGATGATGAAGGCCCAAAGTAAGGTTTTGGGTTGAGCAATTTGAAATTGATGATATTCAGCTGTTTTTGACACACTGAGTGTGGTTCAGCCAACTAACAGCAGTGAGGATGGAAAAGAAGAACGAGAAAGATACAGGTAGTAGAACTGACAGATGCAACGGTAGGCTTCAGGGAGGAGGTGGTTTTAGAGGTAATTCCAAGTTTGGGGTTTGGCCCAGGTTGGGTTATCACGCCACTCATCGAAATAAGATACCACAGGAAGAGGTGCAGCTAACGCTCCCTAACTTGCTTGCTCCCAACCCATTCCCCTATGCTTTTTGGAGTCTTTACCCTTAATCCTTTTCTTTACTCCATGAGAATTCCCACCAGTGGTTTAGAGTTTAGGCAAACCATTATTCTATTAACTAGATTACAGGCAACAGGGACATGCTTCTGGTATTTGAATTTTTCAGCTCTCAGATAAATTCCTGTTACGTTGATAGTAAGGCCACCAAAGCCTTGATTAATCCCGTACGTTCAGTACTTTCAGATCCTGTACCTTCAGTTCAGTATCAACTAACAGAATCACATAACGAGACCATTAATAGACACAAAATTGTGTCCGTGGGAAGATGCATCCCAACATCTTAGAAACAACTGAATTGAGGAGCCAAAACTATATCAATGCTACAAGATGAAACTGAGATCTGAAGATTTTGAGGCTTTTCTGTGAATTTCATTTATCAGAGCTATCCCTTTCCCTCCTCTGACCTCCCACTTCTCCCCCACCCCCCACCTCCCTAAAAAGGTATTGAGTACCCATTAAGCATCTATTGCCGTGCAGGTTCTTTGAAAGACGAAAAATATGGTACCTTTCTTTGGGGCACGTGAGTGTGACAAAAAACAGTGCGAAGTTATAGAGGATTGCAACTTTATAGTCACATTAAAACTTTAGGTTTATAATTCAGCTGTTTTTTTCCCTTTGTGTATCTTTCCTACAATTGAGAGTATACTGCTGCTAAGCAGCAACAGGAACCTTGATTCACACATTTCAGTGATCAGAACTATAAGATATATTCACTGCTTGAGCTCCAGGTCAGAACTGTTAATTTAATTTAAATTATTTTTAAACGTAACCAACAATAAAGTGGAATTCATAGTTACTGTTGAACAGCAGTTCTCAAAGTTTGTTTCATCAAATAATAATCCCAACAAATGGGCCGGGCGCAGTGGCTCACGCCTGTAATCCTAGCACTCTGGGAGGCCGAGGCGGGCGGATTGTTTGAGCTCAGGAGTTCGAGACCAGCCTGAGCGAGACCCCGTCTCTACTAAAAAAAATAGAAATTAGCCAAACAACTAAAAGTATATACATATAAAAATTAGCCGGGCATGGTGGCGCATGCCTGTAGTCCCAGCTACTCGGGAGGCTGAGGCAGGAGGATTGCTCAAGCCCAGGAGTTGGAGGTTGCTGTGAGCTAGGCTGACGCCACGGCACTCTGGCCCAGGCAAGAGAGTGAGACTCTGTCTCAAAAAAAAAAATAATCCCAACAAATGTTCTACAAAGAAAAAGTGTCGCACGGTCAGATTAGTTACGGAAATAGCACACTCCTTTTCCTTGCCTTTGGGATTCACAGCATACGTTAGTACTGCTCTAAATAACCCTCCTTAACTTTATTTAATCCACTTATTCTGAAACTATTTGACCATGGATCCTTTTTGCAAGTGGCATCTATTAATATTACATTGGACACACTTTGGGAAATGCTGTTCTGGAATAAGCTTCTAAAATAATTAAACACTGGGCTCAAATTTGTTGCATTCCTATATCTCCTTAACCAACTTGTGAATCACAGCTCTGTCCTTGTTTTATTCTTAAACTTTAAAGATCATACTCCACCCTGAATTCTATCTTAGAGTCCAGCCTTCCGAAAGTTTGCGCTGACTCACAAGGTTTCAGGCTGCTTAGTCATCTCAGCCATATGCAGTGTATTCTGTGCTTATGCCATTAGGTAAATTCGCATCTTGCCTTGAAAGAGTGCCCTAATCTCGCTCTGACCAACCATCTAAACCTCCCAAATGTACATATCGAAAATGGAAAAAGAAATGTAGTTTGGCCAGACACAGTGGCTCATACCTGTAATCCCAGTAGTTTGGGAGGCCAAGGTGGGAGGATCTCTTGAGGCCAGGAGTTCGAGACCAGCCTGGGTAACATAGCAAGACCTCGTCTCTACAAAAAATAAAAAAGTTAGCCAAGAGTAGTGGTGTACACCTGTCGTCCCAGCTACTCAGGAGACAGAGGTAGGAGGATCACTTGAGCCCCCAGGAGTTTGAGGCTGCAGTGAGCTATGATGACGCCACTACATTCCAGCATGAGCAACAGAACAAGACCCTGTCTCTAAAAAGAAATACAGTTTGCCTCTACCCTAGAAATATAAAACACCCTCCTATCACAGTAGGCACTTTTCTTTACCCTTTAAGAATGTAACATTCTTTATCAGTTATCAAGCTAAAAACTTGTTTAAACAAATATATCTAGTCATTCATACAACAGACATTTATTTAAATCCCATACTGAGAAGGCTTTGATGATACTATCTTGAAAAAGAAAATTTTTGTTAAGTGGCTCACCAACTCAGTGGCTATACCAACCTGCAGTTTTATAAACTGATTATCTAAAACCCAAGCCTTTTTCAAAACATCCCATTATGCAGTTATCAACAAAGTCTTAAGCTGGGTTTATTGCAGTAGTCAAGGGCAGGTTGACTATACATGCTAAATAGGTGAAATTGTTAGCACAGATAATATACGTACCAAAACTTAGCTTTCCATAAGAAAACTCCGTGAGAATTAGAACTGTAAAATAAAACATTGTTTCAAACTTCATAAAACATCTCCAGAATTTTTAGAGACTTTGCAGAGACATCTAGGCTTTACTGGACTTCCTAGAGAACCGTTTCCTTATGTGTATCTTCAATTAATTTGTGTAAATGAAATGGTTGGAGAGAAGTTAAAATAATCTCTATATTAGTTTTAAAAGTTTATTGGTTAAAATGATTTGTAATTCTCCAGATGAACCTTCTTGCTCTAAGTAGTGCTAATATCTTTCATTTAAAAAAAAATACCTTGAAGTTAAATATAACTTCAAAACACGTTCACAGAGCCTCTTCAAATCACATTAAATAACCGCCAGTGCGTGGCACTCTGAATTTAGTACACATACTTTTCCACTGACTACGGATGGTTAAGAACAAGAACCCAGTAGCCAGACTGCCTGGATTTGAACCTTGGCTTTACCACTCACTCACTGTCCCACATTCTATCAGGCAAGGCGACTCCACGGAGCAGCTGTTCCGTGAACATTTGTTGGAGTAGTTGGAGAGAGGGCAGGCATTTTAAAAAATACTCAGGTATCTGTTCCAGGAAAGTGAGATGGAAAAGCAGCAATGCTTGGACCTCAGAGAAGCATTATTCATTTCTGATGTACAAATTTCCTTTGTTCATTCTCTGCTGTTCCTTCAACTACAGTGGACTTTCTGGGGGTAAATCGAAAAATAGAGGATGAAATGACAGTCTAAGGATCTTCCTCACGTGGCTGCATATGTGTCTGTTAATCTCTTATAGTCTTTACCCGGCAAGCTCCTTTGTGATTTTTATAGAATTTTAAGAATGCTGTATCAGTTTCAAATAAACTGTCAAAAGGCTTTAAAAGATAGTTTCTCACTTTCTAAATCAGGTTGATTGCAAAAGACTTTTGGCAGCCAGAACACAGGCTACCCTAAAAACCGAGTTCTTGGACTCTGCTGATACAAAATGCTTGTGCACTAAAGTTTGAGCTCGAAGCAAAGATGTTGTCTACAAATAGTTTCCTTTAAAAATTGACATACTGTGGAAGCATAAAGGAAACCTTTTTTCAAATATTTTAGCAAATTCCTTTGAAAAATATTTCTGACTACAGTCAGTTTTGTATCATTGAAAGTGACTTGGAGAAGCTACTTTTTAAAATATCCAGAACTTACTTCAAATTATTAAAAATAGTGAAAGCTAGCTAAGAAAATTACTTTTAAAATATTCTAATTGAGACTTCCCACTACATTATATTTATTGCAACAGTTCCAATACAAAACCCTCAGTGGGATGAAGACAAAAATGGGTACTAGAAATAAATGTAACCATTTTTTTTCATCTAACTTTTGCCAGATATTCTTACATGCGCTTTTGGTGTAATAACTTTGTAATTATTACAAAAACCTGTGAGATAAACACTTACCATCATTCCAACAACATAGATGGCATCACTCAGGTAGGAGAGGTTTGGTAATTTGCTCAAAGCCAGTGGGATTTATTGAATCTGGGGCCCAGGCCTCCTCTGCTTGGAGAGAGGACAGAGCTCTAAGCACCATGAGAAATGGAGGCAAACACAGAATTTAAGTTCTGCTCAGTCCCTGTGTATGTAATCCAGTCCTTGTATTTGTGAGACCAAACCAAAAAACACTTTAAAAAAATTTATGAAAGCTTTACCTGAAGTATCTAGAGAACAACGACCTGGCACTATCAGAAAAATTATAACATAACTTTTTTTTTATTATTCCAAGTTTTATTCTCTCTTGTTGATCCTGAGGTAGGTCAACATTCGGGGCAGTGGCACTTTTATTTCTCTGGCTTTGGTAGCTTCTAGACCTCTCTGTTCCTTCATGTGAACTGCAATTGCAGTGGTCTTTTCCACTTAGGCTATTTAAGTTGTCATCTTTTGATGAGTTTATTTAAAGCTAAAAGCTTTTTCCTTTTCTTCTGTGAAGAAAAAAATAATATGGTTAAATGAAGATTCATACAGGACACTGCCACAAAACCACTCAACAATGAATTGACTGATTACAATGCAGTTCCTTTATGTTTAAAATTAGTTTATAATTCTGTGATATTTATTTATTGTAGGATGTAATTAAAACCATTGTACAGAGTGGTGGCATCAAGCACCTAGTTACTATGGCAACTAGCGAACATGTAATAATGCAGAATGAAGCCCTTGTTGCTTTGGCATTAATAGCGGCTTTAGAATTGGGTAAGTACCCCAGTGACAAACTTACTTTCTATTTTTATCTCAGATGAAAGGAAGCTCAGGAGTGGAACTGAAGTCAGACAGAACTTTGACTGGAAGCATGTTGCCTGTGTGTGTCCTCACCTGTGTCTGAATATATGGAAATTATATAGGTTGTTACCACGGCTGTCTCCTCTGGCTGTGCTTTTGGTAACATTTTTAGGGCAATGCTTTAAGATTAGTTTATTTCAAATTATGGCCACTCAGAAAATATAGAAAGCATTTTCAGCAGCCTTCATGGAGAAAGAAAACAGTATTTAGAATACAACAGCAAGTGAGTGTGTGCTGCTCTTCCGGTAACTGGACTTTCCTTCCATCTCTGCTGGCTCTATTATCGATTTTCTCTTGCTGATCTTCTCTGTGGCCATGGTTCGTGTTGCTTTGTAGCATTGCCTTCACTCTAAAGGCTCATCTTCTGTGTCACTCTTCTGTGTATTTTTGCATTCGGTACTCCCCAAAGCAAAGTCTAAGTGATTCCATTAGTTTCTAACATACAGCATCCGTAATGGGCAGAATTCTTCATGAGAAGGTAGCTCCTAGGCAGCTATTTTTTGTGTAGCAACTTTTGGCTCGGGGGACCAACCCCTGATGCAGTCAGCCAGGGACAGTGTATCAGACTCATGTGGTCCGTGGTTAAGGCCTAAGGCTGCTTTATACAAATTAGGATTTTAGACTTGGTGGTCCTGTCCAGTTCGAGGCCATTTGGGTAAATACTGTTAACTGATTACCTCTTAATTCTTGCTGATGATTTATATTCGTAATTCTCAAAATGAGGCGAATGAACCAACCAACCCCAATCCCAGAAAAGAGAATATTATTTATCTAGGTCATTATTATTTATCAGTCCCTTTTGGAAGGTTTCATGGTCAGTTTCTAGAAAAGGAAACAGTGTTTAGCCTGTGGGTACCAGGTTTATACACAGTGGATCTCAACCTGTACTTTATTTTCTAGGCACTGCTGAGAAAGATCTAGAAAGTGCTAAACTTGTACAGATTTTACACAGACTGCTAGCAGATGAGAGAAGTGCTCCTGAAATCAAATATAATTCCATGGTCCTGATCTGTGCTGTCATGGGATCTGGTAAGTGTTTCTCCTGTCATTTGATGTCTGTCAACATGTGGCTGACATTAAATATTGAATTGTTAGTGATGGCTTTGGGTTTTAAAAGCATTAGAAATTATTTCATGGATGATATAGGATTACCTGTTTTCCCCATCAGTTTTTAAACATTTATTTCTCTGTAATGATAACATACAAAATCTTTTCTTCTAGCCATCTTCAAATATACACTACATTATTTGCTATAGTCACCCTACTATGTAATAGATAAGATTACTTTTACACTGAAATTCCCAAAGATT